GCATTTATACACAATGGAATATTACTCAGCAGTAAAAAATAACAAAATCATGGCATTTGCAGGGAAATGGATGGCACTAGAGCAAATTATGTAAGCGAAGTTAGCCAATCCCTAAAAAACAAATGCCGAATGTCTTCGCTGATATAAGGGAGGTGACTCAAAACAGAGTAGGAAGGAAGAGCATGAGAAGAAGATTACCACAAAATAAGGAAAAGAGGAAGGAGGGAAAGGGAGGGAAAAGGAGAAATGCACGGAAGATGGAAGGGGACCCTCATGGGTTCACAAAATACATATACGATGGTGTGAGGGSGAAGGGAAGGGAAAAAAAAGAGATAAGTGTCACAGTAGTATGGGTAGACAATAGGGATGGGAGGGGAGGGGAGATAGGGAGGGCAGCAGAATACAACTGACACTAGGATTGCTGTATGTGTACACATGGGTGTATAACCAATGTGATCCTGCAATCTGTACACGTGGAAAAATGAGAATTCATACCCTATTTGAATCAAATGTATGATATGTCAAGATCATTGTATTGTCTTGAACAACTAATTAAAAAAAAAGATTACATCTCAAGTCTTCTGATTTCCAGTCTCTTATTTATCATTTACTTTTAATGAAACCAAGATAATTGAAAAATAATATTGCCATTTTTTAATGTTCATAGTTACCACCACTGAATTTTTAAAATATTTTTTTAGTTTTAGATGGACCTTTATTTTCTTCATTTATTTATATGTGGTGCTGAGAATAAAACCCAGTGCCTCACAAATGTGAGGCAAGTGCTCTAGCACTGAGCCACAACCCCAGCCCACTGAGTTATTTTTAATAACTTTTTTCCCATAGTACTGACTGAAACTTGGACAAAATTTTGCATATAAATGAGAACACTGCAATTGTATAATAAAACAGCTAACTCAATTCTCAAATTAAGAATGTTATTTCCTTATTTTAACACAACTTTGAAAAATGTATTTATTTAGAAAATATACATATTTTACATACAGTGGATGAAACCAACATGCAGGGTGTAGAGAGAAGCTGGAGAGGTGAGTTTAAATGGCATGTTCCATGGTCCTGCTGGTGCTTGTCCAAGAMGACGTTAATAAATCCTGATTTAGCACTGTTGCTAAGCTTGTTGCAAAAGATGAAATGAACAAAAGAGAAATGGCTTGGGCAAATCACTTGAGCCAAAAAACATTTGCTACCTTCAAGAGTTGACCACCAATGCCAAGGAAACAGTCACTGGCCAGGTCCAGGGCCAAGAAGTTCTGTAAATCTTATGCAATAACCACTGATAACCTGACAGGGCACTAAAAACAGGAGAAGCTTGGGGAATTTGGACTTCACACGTTGATTTCATTGTAGTTTTAGTGACAGAATAATAAATCAGTTTAGGAATATAAAACCCATTTCTTCCCAAACTTTAGGAGATCATAAACTAGGTGAACTGTATCTACCTATAAGTACAAAATTGACAGGTAAATTGACAGGTTCAAAACTATTATCTCTGTGAGGAGTGGCTAGTCCTAAAGGCCATTCATTTGYAGGCTCTTACTCATGGAGCACTAAGATAGGTCACAATGCATATTGTCTTATGCCTTTCCATCGCCTTGTTTTGAATTTTCAATTGTCTAATTTAAAAAGGGGAGGGGGACCCAGAAAACAACTAGATAACAGCAAAAGAACTATGCCTCCTGTATCTGAGGATGTTGCTGTCAGAACTAGTAAGATACATAAGTTTGTAATATAATACATGACCTATAATGCTTTTAGACTCTAAGGTTTACTTCAGAGAGTCTAGGCAGCACAGAAGGACTTCACATATTCTTTGCAAGGAAGAAAAGTCATATTCACCATTGAACTTTGTTAGATAATGTGCAGAATGGGGCAGGGAAAGAAGAACCAACTCTCTAGCATGAGCAACAGATTTCACCTCCAGATGTCTAGAACGTTTATCATAATAGAAAGCAAGTGACTGTTCTCGTTTTGTAATTGGTTCTCCCTGTTATACTTTTTGAAAGGCAAAATCTCAAGTGAGCCAGACTCTTCACCATTCCATTTCTGGCATTGTATGACTAATTTCAAAGTATTTGTTTATAAAATCATATAATATACAGAAATATATTTAGCTTTTCTAGTCTTCTCTACTTGTATCATTTAATAGGAATAACTGAGTACTAATATATTACTGAACAGTAATTAAATATTTTTAAGTTAAAACTATGCAACCCTTATTTCAACATATAATTGGAGATTTTTTTTTTCCATTTTGAGGCAGTAATTTATCTTTGAAAGATAATTTGGACTAGTCTGTTGATATAAACTTTTTCTATCACTGTCTTATTCAAATTTTAAAATAAGATAGCGAAAGGTTTTTGTTTTCTGGTGTCTCATCAATAGTGAATTCTATATACTTTTTTCTGCCTTAATGAAAAGTCATCATTTTAAAGTTATTTGTATCTCATGGGTTTGTTTTCAAAGCTTTCTCTCTTTTTTTTTAAATCTAGTTTAATGGAACCTTTTAGTATAACCAATGCAAAAGGAAAGCTTAACTTGAAGCAAACAGTTTTTCTCTATTAATGTTTTTTTAATCAATTATAAAGTAAAGGCTTGATAGCAAGTGTCAGAGAGGTCAAAATTTTCAATGATGTTACTTTTAGGTTTGCTAATTAACAGGTTTAGGGCTATGTCAATACAACATGTACATTTATTATTTCTATGTTTTTGAAAACTAAGTGTTTCATAGTTGTAGCATGAACGGCTTTAGTTAAAACCAGGGTCAAGTTGAGGTGATGTAAAAAAAACTAGCATGAGTATTCTTTGACATACAACAGGATAAAAATATTTTATGTGACTAAAAGATGCATACTGTTAGTAAGACAGTGTGGAAGAAAAATATGTAAAATGTTCAAGACACTGCAGACAAGTTTTAAGCAAATACTGCTTTCACGATAGTTCCTTGATATCTACTGTGAATAGGCCTTGGAAAATATCAACTGAACAAATACTATTTAAAGTTTCAAGTAGAAGCTTCTGTAGACCTCCCATATTTCTCTATAAGTGCTTTAAAAAAATAAGTGTTTAGGGTAGAGAAGGGAACAAAACAATAATTGAAGTCTCTCCTGATGACTAGTCAAGCCCAAATTAATGACTTTTAAAATCAAGCATAAACATTCAAGTAAAGAACAGAAATAACAAAACAAGTACTCACTGAGCACCTATTATATGTGGGGTACTCTAGTCACAACAATAATACCACAAAAGACAAGCAGGAAGGAAAAGACTATTAAAGGTTAATGTAGATGTTACATGTAATTATTATGGAGGAGGAGGAAAAGGAAGAGGAAGAAGAGGCAGAAAAAAAATGGAGAAGAGGATGATAACAATGATAACTACAAGGAGAAGCAATTTAATCAGACAAGTATTAGAAGAAAATAGCCTAAGCCAAGAAACAGTTTGAGCCTTTAGACTGAAAGATGAAAGAGCTCAGTAGTCCAAAAAGTGATGGGAGGAGGAAGGGAGAGGGATAAAGGATCAGATATTCTGACAAAATTGAAAGATTGTAAGAATAAGGAAAAAAAAAAAAACCCTCACATTTTACAAGCTTCCACTATAAAGAATGAGTTCCCTACAAAGGGGGAAATAAATAAATAAAACTGGCTTTGGGATTCTCATCTGCAACATGAGAAGTTAGAAGAAAGAGTACACAATATTTATAAACTAAGGAAAGAAAAGGACTACAACCCAAGAATCCTACACATAGCAAAAGTACCATTTCCGCTACCAGAGGAAAAGATAATATTCAGTAAGTAAACTGTACTGCCCAAATAGACCACCTGTGGTAGTTACCTTTTCTCTACTGTGACAAATATTAGAGAAAAGCAACTTGAAGGAAGAAAGATTTATTTTGGTTCACAGTTTCAGAGATCTGTCTATGGTAAGATGGTTCTGCTGCTTTGGGACTAAGGTGAGGCAGAACATCATAGTGGGAGAGTGTAGGAGATGAAAGCTGATGGTGACCAGCCAGGAAGCACAAAGAGGTGGGACTAAAGGGATAAGATATACTCCCTAAGGACATGACCCCTGGGATCTTCTTTCCTCAATGAGGTGCCACCATCTAAAGTTTTTATTCCTTCCATCAAATATGAATCAGTGGCTTAATCACAGATGAGGCCAGAGCCCTCACAATCCAATCAATTCTCAAAAGCCCCACCTGTGAACAATGCTGCGCCAGGGACCAAGCCTTCAACACATGAGTCTCTGGGGGACAGTTTATACCCAAACCACAACACCACCTAAGGAAAATATGGTGCAGTTCATAATCTATACTGTTCTCAAGAATGACTGGAAAAAAACTGGCATAATCACAAGATGGAACATTATGCAGTTAGTAACAAGAATGGCTTCTTATACAAATATGGCATGGAGGGATGTATGAGTTGTATCCAAAAAAAAAAAAAAAAAAGAAAAAGAACTATGTCTATCTCATTTTTATAAAATTAAAAATACAAACCCACATTTCTCTTTAGGTCTATATAAGATTGTAATATGAAAGAACACACACCAGGTTAATAACCTGGATTGTGGCAAGAGGGGTAAGAGATGAAGAAAGAAGTACTCTAGTTAGAAGAAAGGAGTTTCTATGATAACACTGGCATGCTGAACATCTGACTATGTAAAACTGTCATAGAGAGATGCATAGAGAATAGCTATCAAAATGTTAGTGATGTTGTTACCTTAGAGTATTGATTCTAGGTGGCCATTACTTTCTTTCTTTCTTTCTTTTTTTGTTGTTATCAATGAATCTTTATTTTATTAATATGTGGTGTTGAGAATCAAACCCAGTGCCTCGCAAGTACTTTACCCCAGGCCCCCATTACATTCTTTTTTTGGTTTTTATGTTGTCTGAATTATTTACAATGAATACATATATTTAGATAACTAGAAAGAAGCAATACAATTCTTTACAGTTTAGAAGACTTATTTTTTTCTTAAAATTTAAAAAAAAATCCTATTTTAATACCTTTCTCAAAGGTCAAAAGCATCCCCATCAGGAGGGGAAAAAAGTGAGAGTAGAATACTCTGGGTTTCAGAAAACTCTTGTATGGAAAATATTTGACCAGAAAGGTCTGACATGAGGTCTAACAGTTATATACTTTAAAAACTCAACACACTGAAAAATAATCATGAACTTAGTATCCAAGTTCACAAAAACCTCTTTTTCTAGTCTCCTTCTGGTTAAAGAATCAGGAAGAAAGAAAATATAAGATTAGCTTCTTAGAGGCTAGGGATGGTCATTGATAAAGAACTTGACCAACATGTGTGAGTCCTTGGGTTTAATCCCCAGCAAAATTTTTTTTAAAAAAGAAAAGTTAGCTTCATAATAATCATTTGTGGGTTGACACAGGAAGAAGGGAGAATAAAATAGAAATTTTATGATGACATTTTATGTTTAAGCCAGATTCCCTCCTGGGACATTTTTTGCTTGGATGAATGAGGCAGGACATGGTAAATCTTAGCTAGTTTCATAGAAAGGAGTTTAAGCTTGAGCGTACAAGCTGCTTCTGACTTCAAGCAAACATGAGATGTCACCAGTTAAAAGCCTACTGTGATGTACTGTTTGGATGGCAGGAGATAATAAGTCCAAAACTGTTTAACATAAAGCTGGATGATCCACAGTTAAATAAAATCATAGCAAAATATGAATATATCAATAAGAAAGAATTTTACACAGGTTTGACAATCTGTTACAATCTCACCTGAGATACAACTTCTGCTATTGTATTGTAGCAACAGTGGCTGCTCCTGGCCTCGGGACTTTATACAAATAGTAAACTCATTTTAAAAAATGAGGAAAAACTATCATCCAAATTTGAAGCTAATTTAATTGTCAGTAACTGAACAGTTTAACAAAAATCTCACACAAACAGTGGTGTTTTAAAAGTTTCATCAGTAGAAACAAAAAGGTTGATATTCATCCTTCCTCATCACTGCTGCTCCAGGCATCTTCAAAAGCTGGATTTAACTGCGATTTGGTTGTAGTCTAAACAAAGAAAAAGAAAGAGGAAGATATTGTTTTTTCCACTGCATAATTTTAGGCTCAGATGAACAGCAATTAGATTATTTTGAAAGAAACTATATAATTGCTAATTTCAAAACAAAAGTAATATATGAAATGCCCCCCAATACAATAAGATAATGTAACTCCATTTAAAACAGATATATCAGCCAGGTGTGGTGCTTTATGCCTGTAATTCCAGCAACTCGGAAAGCTGAGGCAGGAGGATCACTTGTTCAAAGTCATCCTCAGTAAAAGTGAGGCCCTGTCTCTAAATAAAATACAAAATAGGGCTGAGGATGTGGTCCAGTGGTTGAGTGCCCCTGAGTTCAATCCCGAGTACCCACCCCCTAAAAAACTGATATATGGAACATTATCCAAATAATCTGAATTTCTCTGAAAGTGATCTCCTCAAAATACATATATATATATGCATTATAATATATATACATATATATATATGCATTATAATATATATACACATATATGCATTATAATATATATACATATATATATTATAATGATGCTATTATTCAAGGTATTTCTGCAACTCTTAAGAATTATCTGCAGAAAGTTGAACATTGACTTCCATGGGGTGAAGACTGGACTCCAGGTCTACAGTTTATCTTGACATTACTATATATTAATACTGCCAACTTTTTACTGTTTGGATGGGCTTGACATTCATAAATAAACAAACATCCACATATGAGGAATAAGCTGTTCATCAAGCTGAATAATACCATTTTTAGTCCAAAGGTTATTAAATGGTGAGGTTTGTTTATTTGTATATGGTTAGAAGCACATGCAACATTCATCAAAAATGGTAACATGTCTGTAATTATCACATAGGATTTCCTGGAAGATTTCTCTAAAGAGTAACAAGCATTTGAAAAGTCTTTACTTAAAATAACAAGAAAACATTACAGTATTCTCATAAGTTTAGTGCCATACCTAATAAAGGTAATCAGCATATTGAGAAATTTTAATTATCTGTGAATTATCAAATCAATCCTTTGGGAAACTAGTGTAGCTACCTTCTTATTATCTAGCAGATAACTAGAAGACTTTTAAATTTTTTTTTTTTTAAGTTTCTTGGCATATGAGTCAGATCTGCTGCTTATTCTGCAGCTTTTACATTTGCTATGGTTTGTTCAGATCCAAATTCCAATAACATATTAGTGCCAAGAGTACTGTTAATTTAACAACTTATGTTTGGCGAACAAGACGACTTAGAATCTTATAATGAAAAGAATAGAAAAAACCAATAGTCCAAGTAAATTTCCAGGATGGCTTGAAAGCAATATATTAACTTAGCTATTCTTTTTTAGTTGTTACAGCAATCAGACTGCATTGCTAACCCTATTTTGCTATGGTAAACAAAAGAACACGAGAAATACATTTTATTACTAAAAAAATCACAAATAAGATGTCATACTTGCAGTTAAAAGCTCCAATAAAAATGTAGATGGACTTAGTACACATTACCATTTGAGTTCCCAAAGAGTAATATGTATATTAAATCCACCCACATTTTTATTACATGTTTTATTACATATTTTATTTTACTACAACTTTATGTGTAACCACCTTCAATTTCTTCAGTTTTCTCTACAACATCTCCTCCTAGTGGACATCCAATCTATGCTTGAACATAGTCATCTCTATCTCACCAGGTTGGTTGATGTACTTGTCAGAGTTGTTAGTGCTATGGGAATGAAGAAAGGGGCATCTACTCTAGAGTCCAAATAATGGAAAGGATAAATGAGACCAAAATAAACATTTGTCAGGATTATATCTTGATACTTTCAAATTTGTGAGTGATAATTACTGGAAAATTTCAGGGTTTTCTGTGTCAGTAAGTATTATGTATCTACATAAGATAGATGTGAAACAGTTATATATTATGTGACTGTCAAACTAAAGTAGGAGTCTTGATGAAAAGTCAGATTTAAGCTGTACCTGTCCTATGAATCTCCAGAAGGAAAAAGTGATTAGGAGTTCAGATAAGCTTAACTTGACCATAACCAAGTAGGAAGTGGGGGAGGAGCAGATTCCTAGGATTTAATAAAACAGCCTGACAATTAAGTAACAAAAATTATGCTTGAAGACCATAAAACCTGACTGACCCTATCATTCAATATCCTTCAGTTTCTTTAAATACAATTAAAGTCCTCCTCTATTTTGGATATTGGGAGAAGTACCCCAAGGGATTATATTTTGGTTAATGAAGAAATAAAATCTCATCAGAAGTATAAAATTTGAAAGGAAACCTAAGAACAACTTTGGCAATTCTGATATTTGAAAATGTCATAAACTTGGGGCTGGGGTTGTGGCTCAGTGGTAAGAGCGCTTGCATTGCATGTGTGAGGCACTGGGTCAGATCCTCAGCACCACATACATACATACATACATACATAAAATGAAGGTGTTGTGTTATGTACAGCTAAATTTTTTTTAAATGTCATAAACTTGTCCCATAATACACTGGCAGAACTCGGAAACAAATGGCAAAACTGGAATTCAAACCCAGGTTTACCTAAAACTAAAAACCTAGTACATATGTGCATATGTATCGGTGTGAATTGTTTTGTATTATACTACACTGCTCCCCTGTGAATCTACAATACTCATTTATTTGATAGTCAAGATGAAAACACTTTTGAATATGAGTTAAATGGTAAGAAAAAGGTTCTTGTGTAGACCAACTTTTCTACTGGAATTTGCATCATGGTCATATTCATATTCTACCTACATTCACAGGAATCTTTCAAACTACATTTTTATGGAAATAACCTTAGCACATACCACTTTATACTAATATGAGAATGATTGCTATTCTAAAGTGAAAGCATACAAATAGATATTTTAAAAGATAAGGCTTAGCCAGGCACAGCAGCATACGCCTGTAAYCTCAGCGGTTTGGGAGGCTAAGGCAGGAGGATCACGAGTCTAAAGCCAGCCTCAGCAAAATCAAGTTGCTAAGCAACTCATTAAGACCCTATCTCTAAATGAGTGCCCCTAAGTTCAAACCCTGGATCCCCACCCCACCCCACCCTCGCCAAAAACAAATAAGGCTGTACAGCTCTAAGACTTAAATATAAAGCTCAGCTTGTTTTCAGTGTTCTTCTAATTGTTTTGCTTAATTTTCACACATAAAAGCAAGTCTTTTAGATGAGCTTAAATTGTCAGTATAACTACAAAACAAGGAAATGAAGAAGCCATCAAAGTTACAAATTATCTTTATAATAAGCAATTTAGATTTACTTTAATATTCTTTTATTTATATGTCATAATATATTTTCTTTAAATTTATTTTTATTATTTTGATTTGGTGATTATATACTTCCTAACATGGCCTGTAGTGTTATAATTTTGATTTAATGTGTACTGTAATTCCCATAGAGCAGATACAACACTTAATAATAAAAAATAAATGGCTAACTAAATTTTTTGACCATATTAAGCTTTCTACAGAATATTCAGCCATCAAAAACAGTTGTTGCTAAAATCAATCAAGCCACAATGAACCAAATTAGACATGTGATGAATTCTGGAAACATTCATATGGCATTTGGCCAGATGCTCAAAGATTTATCAACATGTATTTTTTTCTCCCTTTCATTTGGATTAGGCCAAAAGAAAACAATTCACAGTTCAGAGGCTTTATGCCACAGTAAACCATAGCAACTACAAATTTAGGCATGAAATAAATTTTGTCAACAGCTGTTAGCTAGATGCTATTAACTATCCCTGTTAAATTTTTATTTCATGTGGCTTTTGACATAGTCCTATATTCATAAAGGAACTAAACATATGAAAAATGTTTTTAGAATATCAAATGGTTTTATCAATAACTTCCTTCCACCTCTATTTAAGATACTTTGTTTTTACTATCATTTGGGTTAAGATTACCTTAACGTATTTCTAAATGTATTTGCACTGCCAGTTTAAAAATATATATAAGCATTCTTTTAGACACCAAACTTTTTAAAAAATATTTATTTTTTAGTTGTCAATACCTTTATTTTGTTTTTATGTGGTGCTGAGGATCGAACCCAGGGCCTCACACGTGCTAGACAAGTGGTCTACTACTGAGCCATAACCCCAGCCCCTAGACACCAAACTTTTTATATCCTAGAAATTACTATAAATGGAAATTATTAATAGTATTGAATAGAATAATCCTTGAAGAAAGAGAAAGCATCTTTAGACAACTTTTATTTTACTACAGCTTGACATACAGTAAAAATAATAATAATTTTGAAAAAAGAAGCTACTAAAGGGTAGGGATCATGTCTTCCTCATCTTTGTTTACCCATTACACTTTTAAGGCTCTTTATTCATGCTGTCCTATTTATTCTAATTTACACTCTAAGATAGGTACAGTTAGATTATAAAATATTAGAAGTGTAAATTGGTAAAATCTAGCAGCATGAAATTGAGACTTAATTATGTCATACATGGTAACTCAAGAGGTTCCAGGAATGTTAGCCTAAGAAATAATCATAAATATCTGTAGTAGAGGCTGAGAGAGGACAATTGCAAGTTTGAGGCGAGTCTGGGCAACTTAGTGGGACCTATCTCAAAATGAAAATAAAAGGATGAAAGGGCTGGGGATATTGCTCAGTGGTAAAGTACCCCTAGGTTCAACCCCCAATATAAGGAAGAAAGAAAAGAAGAAAGAATAAAAAATTTGTGAATAGATATTTATCTTGATGCTGTTTATAAACAATAGATATAAATATTTAAATTTGTGGTATACAGATGATGCAACACTATATCATTAAAGATACAGTTTAAAATAGATACCAAGTTATATGTCCAATAATGATATTAACTGTGTTTAAAAAAAAAAAAAAGCAGTGTCTAGGAGGGTATCTCAGTGGTAGAACAGTTAGTTGCCTGGAAAGCTTGGGGTCCTTGGCTAAAAATAAGAAGAAAGAAATATATGCATAGGAAAAAACCAAGAATGAAGTAAATAAAAAAATACTATTATTTAATCCATCCTGAGAAATTTAATATTCTTCTTATGATATTTTTTTCCTAAATTTTTCAAATGTGTTATATCAAGTTATTTTTATAATCAGAAAACAGCAAGAAATACTTTAAAAAAGCTCTCTTGTATTAACTAATAAAACTTTATTTCTTATGATTTAGGAATAACTATATACCATTTGTACAAATAATATTTACCTCATCATCATCGGGAACTGGTTCATATAAGGATGGTACCCAAGCAAGAATATTGCAGTCTCTGCTACCACTATAAAGTTCCTACAGCAAAGAAAGCAAAGACGTACCAATTTGAAATTAACGATATCAGTTTTAAAAATGATTAATTCTTAAACTAATCAGATCATTTCTATTTCTACGTCTTAAACTATGCTGATGCCCTTTTTTTTTTCTTTTTCTTTTTAAGATGCAGTAAAGTTTTGTTTTGTATTTAAAATACTATCAGGGGCTGGAGTTTTGGCACAGGGACAGAGCACATGCCTAGCGTGTGTGCGGCACTGGGTTTGATCCTCAGCACTATATAAAAATAAATAAATAAAATAAAGGTATGCTATACCCAAAAAATTTTTTTAAAAAGAAAAAAAATACTATCAAGTTTTGTTTGAGCTTATTAATGGGGTGAAAATTTTACAAGTACATTCAATGTCTTAGCAGTTTTATTAATCATAGTATCCATATATTTCAAGTGTCATAACAGAGAAAGAAAAAAATAGAATAAAGGGCTTGACTTTCTCTGTCAAAAGCAGGTGTTTTGCTGTTGTTCTTGTTGTTGTTGTTCTGTTTGTTTTTTCCAGTACTGGGGAATGAACCCAGGGCCTTGTATATGCTAGGCAAGTGTTCTATCACTTAACCAAATTCTCAATAATAACTGCACTTTAATAACGATTTCAATGAAGAAACCATAAGAATTTCTACTAAAATAGACCAAGAGTTTACAAAAAAGTTTTGTGTAGCTTCTTTCAGTCTGGTTGCCTGCTATTCAACACAACAGCTTAAAGACCCATACCTTGCCTGTTGAGATGATTACTTCATAAAAGGAAGCTTGGCTTGATGTATAGTCTATGTTAATGTCTTTATGGACAAGTTATTAGCTCTTCTCTGAACAATGATCACTCCCTTCCCTAACAAAACTGAAGAAATGTTGCATTGGCTATTACTGAAAACATTCCAATGGGGTAGTGAAATAAATACTTTCTATACAGAGGATATAAACTGGTACAGTAATTGAGAGAATGGAGTCTCAGTATATAGGCCAAGCTTTTGTGTGCATTTCTGAGGTTATGCCAGAGTCACAAATAAAATTTAAGGCTATCATCCAATTATGAAGTCAAACAACAAGTGCTGGCGAGGATGTGGGGAAAAGGGTACACTTGTACATTGCTGGTGGGACTGCAAATTGGTGAGGCCAATTTGGAAAGCAGTATGGAGATTCCTGGGAAAGCTGG